GAAGATAGGCGCGAACGCCGCTATTATCGCTCGCCGTCGCCGCGAGAGGACAGGCGCGAACGTCGCTATTATCGCTCTCCGTCGCCGCGAGAGGATAGGCGCGAACGCCGCTATTATCGCTCGCCGTCGCCGCGAGATAGATACGAACGCCGTCGTCAGCGCTCTCAGTCGCCGCGTGACCACAGGTATGAGCGGCGCCACTCGCCGAAATCGCCGCCGCGAGTAACGAAAGGTAGAGGCGTTGATAGGTTGGTAGACGCGTTAGAGAAAATGGCAATGTTTCGCCCACCGCCGCGACAGGCGCAGGAATTGCCAATTTTCACCGGAGCCTACACGGATTGGCTCCCGTTCAAGCGCGCGATGATAGACTCAACCCGAATGTACAAATTCTCAGACGCGGAGAATTTGGCGCGTTTACGAGTCAGCCTGAAGGGAGAACCGAAAGAAGCAGTCGCTGCGCTCCTGTACACGGCTACGAATCCGTCCGTAATTATGGATACGTTAGAGCAATGTTTCGGTAAGCCGGAACTTATAGTGGAACGCACCGTTAGCGAGCTTAGGCGTTTGCCGCGACCCGACGGAACGGCAACGGGTTTAAACAGCTTCGCCGTTAAGGTGCAGAATGTCGCCTGCGTATTAGGAAATCTAGCCCACTGGCACTTGTATGATTCCACGCTAGTACGCGACTTAGTAGAAAAGCTCGACACGTACCGGCAGACCAAGTGGTGCGAGTACGCGGACGAACACCGAATGGAAACCGAACCCGAGATCGTCAAGCTGTCGCGGTTTCTAATGCGCGAAGGGGACCTGGCGATTCGGTATTTACACTCGGCCGCAAAAGAAACAGCACCAGCGAGGCACGACCCGAAGCCCCGCCCACCGCGTACGCGCCGCCCCGAACGTAGGAACGTGTACAACGCCACCGCGGAAAACAAGGAGCCAAGGAAATCGGTTTGCCTTTGTTGCGGCGGCAATCACTCGGTCCCGCGATGTTGGAAGTTCTCAGCCATGACGGTGGAGGACCGTTGGAAGTGGGCCAAGGAGGCGTACGTGTGTTTTAAGTGCCTAATAGAGAAACATCGCCGCTTCAAGTGTAGGGCGAAGTCGTGCGGAGTCGACGGCTGTGACTCCCCGCACCACGCTTTGTTGCACACGCAGCGTAAGCCGGTTTCGAAACCCGAGACACCGAAGGTCGAGACGGTTCTCAATACGTCGGTGTTGGTCAAGGAAAACAGCGGATCGGTCTTGCTGAAGGTGCGTCCAGTTAGCGTGATAGGGCCTAACGGGCAACGCGCAAATACGTACGCTCTACTTGACGAGGGATCGACCGTCACTTTGATAGACGCGGAAATAGCGGACCGCATAGGGGCCGACGGGCCCACGCGAAAACTACGTATTCACGGACTAGGGTCTAGTCAGAGCGAACCGACTAGTAAGGCCGTAGAGTTAAGTATATGTGGAAAGTCGGGTGAAAGTCACAAAGTTATTGCGCGAACCGTACATAACTTGAAATTAGCGAGACAGACTATAGACTCGTCGTGCTTGGAATACGCGCACTTACGAGGTCTCGATAGGTCGGAAGTTTGCTATAATAACGTGAAACCAGGCATCTTGGTAGGGGCCGATAACTGGCACTTGATCGTGTCGCGTCAGTTGTTGGTAGGAGGGCGCCGCGAACCGGTCGCTTCCCTCACGAGCTTGGGCTGGACGGTACACGGAACGGTACCGAAAGTTATTAACTCGACCGCGAACGAAAACGTCTTTCATGCATATACGTACCGAGCGGACATATCGCGCACTTGTAACGATCTCGACGAACGGCTCGAGGATCGTATGAAACGACACTTCGCTATAGATAATGTAGGGATTTCTAAAATAGCGAAGCCGTCGCGTAGCGAAGAAAGAGCGCTCGACATATTCGCGCGAACCGCGAAACGAATAGGCCACCAATTTGAGGTAGGACTGCCGTGGAAAGACGACGCAGTTGTCATGCCGCCGAGCTACGATATGGCGCTCCGCAGGCTGCGAACGATCGAACGGAAAATGGACGCGTCGCCGGAATTTAAACACGAATACAAAGCGCAGGTGCAGAACCTTTTAGACAAGGGGTATGCGGAGCCGTGTCAGGGAAACGAAGCGGACAGCCCGATCGGTTGGTTCCTTCCGCATTTCGCCGTGCGGAATGTAAATAAGCCGGGCAAATTGCGCTTAGTACACGACGCCGCCGCCACTGTTAACGGCACTTGCTTGAACGACAAGCTCTTAGACGGGCCCGACTTGTTACGATCGTTGCCGGGCGTATTATTCCGTTTTAGGGAACGCGACGTAGCCGTATCGGCGGACATACGCGAGATGTTCATGCGTATTAAGATACGCAAAGCCGATCAGCCCGCCCAAATGTTCCTATGAGAGGAGACGATAGAACGAAACCGCCCACTCGTTATAAAATGACTTCGATGATATTCGGTGCTCGAAGTTCCCCGTTCCTGGCGCATAGCGTTAGAAACTTAAACGCTAAGGAACACGCGCAATTTTATCCCGTAGCGTTCGACGCGATCACATCGAATCATTATATGGACGATTGGGTGGACAGCTACGAGAACGAAGCTAAGGCCGTGCAAGCAGTCGCCGAAGTAGTAACGGTGCAAGCGAGGGCAGGATTCCAGCTAGCGGGCTGGAACTCGAATAGCGAGCTCGTGTTAGAACACGTACCGGTAGAAGCTAGGGCCCGCGCGGCCAAGGAATTAGGCGGAAGCAACCCTCACGGAGCGGGGAAAACGTTAGGGCTGTTATGGGAGGCCTCAAGTGACGAACTTCGCTTCAACACGGCCATGAATAGGGTGCCGCGAGAGGTACGATCGCTGAAAAGAGGACCTACTAAGCGCGAGGCCCTCAGCGCAGTCATGTCAATTTTCGACCCTCTAGGCTTACTTAGCTATTATACGGTTAGGGCGAAAATAGTGCTGCAAAACGTATGGAGGTCCAACGTAGGTTGGGATGACGTTTTGCCCGAAACGGAGAATCGCGAATTTTTAGATTGGCTACGTGATATGGACTCGGTAGCCGACTTACGGTTGGATCGAAAGTACGGTTTTAACAAGGACACGACGAATACGCAGTTACACGTGTTCAGCGACGCCAGTGAGTTAGCATACGCGACGGCCGCGTACTGGCGTATAACGTATAGAAGTGGAGAGGTCAAGGTCACCCTCGCCGCGGCGAAGGCCAAGGTGACCCCGATTCGCGCGCCAAGTATCCCACGTTTAGAACTACAAGCGAACCTTGTAGGCGCGCGTCTGGCCGATTCCATACTACGGGAACACCGCGTACCCATCGATAGAGTGATATTCTGGTCGGATTCGAAAACCGCACTTCATTGGATAAGGAACGATAAGCCGCGTTATACTCCTTACGTAGCGCACAGATTGAGCGATATCTCTGAACTTACCCGTGTCGACCAATGGAGATGGGTGCCGACCGCGGATAACGTAGCGGACGACGCGACGCGAATAAGTACCGATATGAAAACTAGCCGCGATAGATGGTTCATAGGGCCCGCGTTCTTGTACGAATCGGAAGACAAATGGCCGAAGGAACGCGAGGAGTTTGTCGCGACTGAGGACGAGGTAGTCGTGTCGTACGCAAACGAGAAGGGCAGTTTCGATCACTTGCCCGACATAGGCCGGTTCTCTAGTTACGAAAGGCTCATTAGGACCACGGCGCGAGTATTGGCTTTCGTAGATATGTGCAGAAGACGCGCGAACCGCGTTGAGTTACGACACGTACAGGAAGCCGAACGTCTGTGGCTATTGAAATCACAGCGCGACGATTTCAACGAGGAAATCGCATGCCTTGCGCGTAAGAAACCGTTGCCGCGCAGCAGCAAGCTGTTTAAGTTAGACCCCGTGATAGGAACGGACGGAATCGTGCGCGTGAACGGTCGTATAAATGCAGCGCAAATCGAACAGTCGGTCAAGTCGCCCGCGGTTTTGGACGGACGGAACGTGTTCACTCGACTCTGTATCGACAACATACATAGGCGTTCCGGACACGGCGGGCGCGAGCGCGTCGCGAACGACGTAAGACAGACGTACTATGTGCTAAGATTACGCTCGACCGTGCGTACGGTGTTACACGGGTGCACCTTCTGTCGTCTCAGAAAAGTTACGCCGTTCGTGCCGGCGTTCGGAGACTTACCCGCTGCGAGACTAGACGCGTATAGCCCACCGTTTAGCAATTGCGGAGTAGACTATTTTGGACCGATGATAGTCACGATAGGTAGGCGCCACGAAAAACGCTGGGGCGCATTATTCACTTGTCTAACTACGCGCGCGGTGCATTTAGAACTCGCCGCGTCATTGACCACGGATTCGGCAATAATGGCCTTGCGCAGAATGGCCGCACGACGCGGCTGGCCGCGAGTTATATACAGCGATAACGGGACGAACTTTAGAGGCGCTGATGCCGAGCTACGGGCAGCAATGAAAGAATGGGAGCCCGAGCTCCGCGAATTTGCGTTAACGCAGCGCGTGGACTGGCGATATATAGACCCCGGCGCGCCGAACCAAGGGGGCGCGTGGGAACGATTAGTGCGGTCGGTAAAAACTGCGTTATCAGTCACCTTGCACGATAGAGCGCCGAAAGAGGAAGTTTTGTTAACCTTGCTTGCGGAAGCAGAATATACTATAAACGCGCGTCCGCTTACTCACGTATCTGCAGATCCGGCCGAGCCCGAAGCGCTCACACCAAACCACTTCTTGCTTGGGCAACCGAACGTACTGCCCATTATCGGAACGTGTGAGAATGCAGATAGACGACAATGGCGAGCGGCGCAAGCGTTGGCAGAAAGTTTCTGGCGCAGATGGGTTAGGGAGTATTTACCGCAACTCATTCCGCGCGGGTCACCCTCCGATTCAAGCAGGAATCTCACCGTCGGAGATTTAGTCCTCATAGTAGACTCTACGCTACCACGGAACGTATGGCCGCGCGGGGAAGTAGTGAAAATCTACCCGGGCCCCGACGGTACAGTTAGGAGCGTAGAAGTTAGGACACGGGGTGGTGTTTTTAGGCGTCCGGCGCGTAAGTTGGCCGTCCTCCCCAAATGATTAGGCTAGGTTTCGTTTTGATTATGTTTAGAATAAGATTTGTATTTACTTTTACACGTAGGATAAGTTTTAAGTTGATTTGATTGTTTACCGTCTAGATCGTTTGTTTTTTTTTTATTTCTATTTTATTCTTTTTCCATTATTTACCTAGCCTTAGCTCGTAAGACTTCGCTGAGGGGAGAATGTTACGGACGGCCGTACGCGCCTGGCCGGTCAGAGCTAGAGTCCAGAACAGAATGATTAATTCGAGAGCTCTGATTGGCCGAGGGGCGTAGCGACCCATTGATAGGACCGGTACGATGTGGGAGACATCGTGCCGGTATAAATATGGGCGGATTTTAGTTTGTATTCAATCACTTTTCATCACTCTTGGAATCACTTTTGAATCTCTTGTTTTGTAAGTCAGATCGACATTTTTATATGAATATATACAGTCCATTTTAAATTAAGGAGTTTTATTATCGAAGGAAGAATAAAGCAGAGGATCGAAGAGCGTCGGTCCTGCACAGGTGGCATCTTCTTCGAGTTGCTCACGATGATTGCCTGGGTTTTGGTGACGTTGACTGAGAGTCGCCAGTCATCCAGCCAAGGAGGAAGCATGCGGTGATGGAGGTGGTAAGCTACGCGGCGTCGACGATGTACAAGGCCAGGATGGCCCCTTCCTCCAAGGGGATGTCATCCGTGTATCGAGGGTAACACACGGGTAACCGACAGCTTCCTTGTGGTAATCCGGCGCTGATGGTGCGTTCTGAAGAGGTCACTTGCTCCACCGCTAATCGCTCGGAAGCCGAACTGCTCGTCGCGTGACTGGATGTGTGGAGTCAGATGCAGCAGTAGCAACCTCCCGAAAACCTTAGAGATGGTGGGCAGCAGAGCGATGGGCCGATAGCTTTCCGGTTTCAGGATGTCTTTCCCCGGTTTCGGGAGCATGATGATTCTACCGAGCTTCCAGGTGTGTGGGAAGTGACCTGTCCGCATGATATCGTTAAAGATACTGGTCATCGCAGCGATCGCCTTCGGTGGTAGGTGACGGGGTTCGTTTGTGATCCGGTCTGGTCCGGGAGCTTTCTTCTTTTTGGCTCGGCGGGTCATACGCAGGACTTGTCCTGGCGAAAAGACAATGGGGTCCTCGTCGGAAGCTGTGGGTGTGGCGAAGTAATTCGAGATGCTGCTGGATGTTGGCTGCATGCTGATGGTTCACGGACGGGTTTGGGCAGAACTGCATCTCGAGGTGGT